TCGGCTGATGGAGACCCACGCCACGGCAACATCTGCCACCTCCTCTCAGATCAGAGTCTTTCCAGCCTCCGTCGAGGTGCCACTGTCGTCGACGTCGACGTCGGCGTCGGCATCGGCTTTTCAGCCGCGCTCGACGTCGGCCAGTCCCAACGTCGGCGTCACTTGGTCCAGTCTGTTGGGCGGGTCCAGCTTTCTGGCCGACTGGCAAGTCGCCTACGACTCGACGGTTATGTTGTCGTCGGGCGAGTCGAGTCAGGCCAAGACGGCCGACTCGCTCGACGACCCACAGACCCATCGGTCGGCCTGGCCGCAGCATCTATACCCTCAGCACCATCACCATCCACAACCGTTCTATCAACATGCCCAACAATCATCGCATGATGCCATCGGCTTGCAGACCACCTCGCACCAACTCGTCCAGCCCAATCAGCCTCACCCTCATCATCACCAACATCAACATCAGCATCAGTTGGCCCAAGCGTTCATGCACTGTTGGAATGATGCCACCGACTCCAGCCCATCCTCGGTACCAAAATCACAAGCAGATGCCTCGCGTCTATCCCCCCCCGTCGAGCCACATCGACAACTAGTTGAGCACATCGGATCCTCCTCCTCCTCCTCCTCCTCCTCCTTCTCCTCTTCCTGCTCTTCCTCCTCCCGTTCCTCGTCCTCCGGCTCATTGACAGTATCGGCAGCCACCGTAGAAACGACCAGTCCTCCGGCTCCTCGAGCCTCGCTCAGTTCACCCGACTCGCCGGACTCGCGGGACTCGTCGAATCGTCGACGTCGGCACATCTGGTGCCCAGACGGTGGGCTCCCCGAGCCCCAGACGACCGTGGCCTCGGGTGCCTCGAGACCGGACTCCATGAGTCTCCGGGCCGACGTGACCGAGCGAGTCGGAGGCCAGTTGGACCGTTCGACGTGGCTGGAGCTGGCCCGAATGTGGGCTCAGCCGTCGGCCAGACTGCCGGCCGAGGCCAAAGTCCCGTCGCCAATGCCCCTGCCCTTGCCCCTGCCTTTGCCCCTGTCCTTACCACTGCCCCTACCCCTACCCCACCTGCCCCTCCCCCCCTTGCCCTTGTCACTGCCCCTGCCCTTGCCGCTGCCCTTGTCACTTCCCCTGCCCCTCCCCATGCCATTTCCTCCAGCCTCCGTGTCCTCCTCGTCCACGCCG